AGCTAAAAGAAAACATGGACAAAAAACTAAAGGAAATCAGGAAAATGGTATATTAACAAAATTAGAATACCAAGAAAGGGACAAAAATTGTAAAAAGGAGCTAAACAGAAATTCTACAGCTGAAAGACACAATAACTGAAATGCAAATTCACTAGAGGAGCTCAAACACAGAAGAATCAGTGAACTTGAAAATAGGACAGTTGAAATTTTCAAATCTGAGGAGCATAAAGAAAAATAAAGAAAAGTGGATAGGCCAAGTGAGGTGACTCATGCCTGTAATCCCAGCACTTTGGGAGGTCAAGGCGGGTGGATCACTTGAGGTCAGGAGTTCAAAAACAGCCTGGCCAACATGGCAAAATCTCATCTCTGCTAAAAATACAAAAATTAGCTGGGCATGGTGATGAGTGCCTGTAATCCCAACTACTCAGAAGGCTTAGGCAGGAAAATTGCTTGAACCTGGGAGGCAGAGGTTGCAGTGAGCCAAGATTGTGTCACTGCATTCTAGCCTGGGCAACACAGTGAGGCTCTATCCCAAAAAAAAAAAAAAGAAAGAAAGAAAAGTTGACAGAGACAAAGGAACTTGTGGAATACCATTAAGCAGACCAACATATGCATTACAATTCCCAAAGAGGAGATAGAGAAAGGGGCAAAAGGATTATTTGAAGAAATGGCTGAAAACTTCCCAAATTTGATGAAAGACACTAATCTACAAATCCAAGAATCTCAATAAACTCCAAGTAAAATAAATCCAAAGAGACTCACACTGAGACACATTATAATCAAACTATTGAAAGACAGAGAATCTTGACAGCAGCAAGAGAGAAGCAACTCATAATGTACAAGTGATCCTCAATAACACTATCAGCTGAAGTCCAATCACTCTGGAAAAAAAATAAATAAATAAATAAAAAACAAAAAAAACTATTGGCCATTTTCTCAGCAGAAACCTTGGATGCCAGAAGGCAGTGGGATAATACATTTAAAGTGCTAAAAAAAAAAAAAAAAAAACTGTCGAGACAGGCATGCTGGCTCACACCTGTAACCCCCAACACTTTGGGACGCACCAAGGTAGCTGCGTAGATCACTAGAGCTCAGGAGTTTGAGACCAGCCTGGGCAACATGGTAAAGCCCTATCTCTACAAAAAAACACAAAAATTAGTTGCACATGTAGTCTCAGTTACTCAGGAGCCTGAGGCAGGAAGATCACTTGAACCTGGGAGGTCAAGGCTACGGTGAGCCATGATCATGCCACTGCACTCCAGTGTGGGCAACAGAGAGAGATCTTGTCTCTTTAAAAATATATATTGATATATATATGCTAAATCTACTCTGCCTGTTTTCCATAAAGGGAACAACAAAGCCTGGATGACAGCATATCTGTTTACCCTACAGTTCACTGAATATTTTAAGCTCACTCTTGACACCTACCCCTCAGAAAAAAAGATTCCTATCAAAATATTATTGCAGGCTGGGCACAGTGACTCATGCCTGTAATCACTAGATTACAGGCAACATTTAAGGAGACCAAGGCAGGAAAATCACTTGAGGCCAGGAGTTCGAGACCAGCCTAGGCAACACAGCAAGACTCACTCTCCATTTAAAAAAAAAAAAAAAAATTACTGATCATTGATAGTGCACCTAGTCACCCTATAGCTCTGATCGAGATGTACAAGGAGATTAATGTTGTTTTCATGCCTGCTAACACAAAATATTTTCCATAGCCAGTGGATCAAGAACTACTTTTGACTTTCAAGTCTATTATTTAAGAAATATATTTTGTAAAGCTATGGCGGCCATAGATAGCAATTCCTATGATGGATCTGGGCAAAGTAAATTGAAAACATTTTGGAAAGGATTCACCATCCTAGATGCCATTAAGAGCATTTGTGATTCATGGGAGGAGGTGAAAATATCAACATTAACAGGAGTTTAGAAGAAGTTGATTCCAACCCTCATGGTTGATGTTGAGAGGTCTAAGACTTCATGGAGGGATGTAACTGCAGATGTGGTAGAAATAGCAAGAGAACTAGAATTGGAGGTGGAACCTGAAGATGTGACTGAATTGCTACAATCTCCTGATAAAACTTTAACAGATGAGGAGTTGCTTCTTCTAGACAAAGAAAGTGGTTTCTTGAGAAGAAATCTACTCCTGGTGAAGATGCTATGAACATTGTTGAAATGACAACAAAAGATTTAAAATATCACATAAACTTAATTGACAAAGCAGCAGCAGGGTTTGAGAGGACTAACTCCAATTTTGAAAGAAATTCTACTGTGGGTAAAATCCTATCAAACAGCATCACATGCTATAGAGAAATCTTTCATGAAAGGTGCAGTCAATTGATGGAGCAAATTTCACTGTCTTATTTTAGGCCACCCCTACCTTCAGCAACCACCACCCTGATCAGTCAACCAACATCAAGGAAAAATATGACTTGCTGAAGGTTCAAATGATCGTCAACATTTTTAAGTAATAAAATATTTTCAAATTAAGGTATGTACATTGTTTTTAAAACATGTTATTGCACACTTAAGAGACTGCAGTATAGGGTAAACATAA